TATGGACACCTCATATTCTCTTGTGTCCTGTAGAAAATAAACAAGAGACGCTGTGAGAATTACCGACGTTTAATCACGTAAAAAAAAAACTCATTTCCCACACAGGTGATGTTGTTCTACACTAGGTGATTTCCTGGCCCTTGTTATGTGGTTCAGAATGGCTGATTAGACTATTACTGGGGTTTTTTTGGGAGTTGCTAAGAAGTTTGTGAGATGTTTGGATGATTGGTAACACTTATGCAGTTGCTAGGGTGCTCTGGTAAGTTTGCCAGGGCAGTGCTATGTGGTTCCAACAGGGTTCTAGTTGGTTGCTAGGAGGTTGCTAGGAGGTTGCAAGGGTATTCTGGAGTTGCTAAGTGGTTTGTCAGATGTTTTGGTGTTTGCCAAGACTTATGGGGTTGCTAGGGTGCTCTGGAAAGTTGCCAGGGCAGTGTTATGGGGTTCCTACAGGTTCTAGATGGTCGCTAGGGACTTGCTAGGGTTTCTGGGAGTTGCTAAGTGGTTTCTCATATGTTTTTGAATGATACCTAAGACCTATGCGGTTGCTAGTGTGCTCTGGGAAGTTACCAGGGGCAGTGCTATGTGGTCCAACAGGGTTCTAGATGGTTGCTAGGGAGTTGCTAGGAGGTTGCAAGGGTATTCTGGGAGTTGCTAAGTGGTTTGTCAGATGTTTTGGATGTTTGCCAAGACTTATGGGGTTGCTAGGGTGCTCTGGAAAGTTGCCAGGGCAGTGTTATGGGGTTCCTACAGGGTTCTAGATGGTCGCTAGGGACTTGCTAGGGTTTTCTGGGAGTTGCTAAGTGGTTTCTCATATGTTTTGAATGATTACCAAGACCTATGCGGTTGCTAGTGTGCTCTGGGAAGTTACCAGGGCAGTGCTATGTGGTCCAACAGGATCTAGATGGTTGCTAGGGAGTTGCTAGGAGGTTGCAAGGGTATTCTTGGAGTTGCTAAGTGGTTTGTCAGATGGTTTGGATGATTTCAAGACTTGTGGGCTTGCTAGGGGCAGTGTTATGGGGTTCCTACAGGGTTCTAGATGGTTGCTATGGACTTGCTAGGGTTTTCTGGGAGTTGCTATGTGGTTTCTCATATGTTTTGAATGATTACCAGAACCTGTGCAGTTGATAGTGTGCTCTGGGGAGTTGCTAGGGAAGTGCTATGTGGATCCAAAGGGGTTCTAGGATGGTTGCTATGGTTTTCTGGGAGTTTCTAAATTGTTTCTCAGATGTTTTTGTATGATTGCCAAGATTATGTGGTTGCTATGATGCAATGGAAGGTTGCCAGGGCAGTATATATGGTTCCTATGGGGTTCTAGATGGTTGCTAGGGAGTTGCCAGGGTTTTCTAGGAGTTGCTAAGTGGTTTTCAGATGTTTTAGATGATTACCAAGACCCATGTGGTTGCTAGGCTGCTCTGGGAAGTTGCCAGGAAGTGCTATGTGGTTCCTAAGGCAGTTCTAGGTGATTGCTAGAGAGTTTGCTAGGTGGTTTGGACGATTACCAAGACCTATGCGGTTGCTAAGGTGTTCTGTGAAGTTACCAGGCCAGTCTATATGGTTCCTACAGGGTTCTAGATGGTTGCTAGGGAGTTGCCAGGGTTTTCTAGGAGTTGCTAAGTGGTTTTTCAGATGTTTTAGATGATTACCAAGACCTATGCGGTTGCTAGGGTGCTCTGGGAAGTTGCCAGGGAAGAGCTATGTGGTTCCTAAGCAGTTGTAGGTGATTGCTAGAGAGTTGCTAGGTGGTTTGGACGATTGCCAAGACCTATGCGGTTGCTAAGGTGTTCTGGAAGTTACCAGGACAGTGCTATATGGTTCCAATATGGTTCTAAATGGTTGCTATGGAGTTTCAAGGTGGTTGCTAGGGGTATCTGTGAGTTATTAAATGGTTTCTCAAAAGTTGTTCTGGGTGCTTAGGTAGTTGTTAAAATGTTTGGGCTGATTGCCAGGGCCTTTCTAAGAATTTGCTATTGTGCTCTGGGAGGTTTCCAAGGTGGTGATATGTTCCTGTGGAGTTGCTAAGTGGTTGGTTGTTCAGGTGTTTTGGATGATTGCCAGGACTAGGGTTCTCTAGGAGGTTTTGTGTGTTCTATGTGATTGCCAAGGCTTTGTTATGCGGTTGCTAAGGTGTTCTAGAAAACTCTCACCCCTCCAGTCTCGTAGAGGGGGTTGTCAAACTCAGTTTCCACGGTGATTTGGCTGTAGGGATGCGGATACATCAGAGGAAGTCTCAGGTTTGAATGATAACGGCACCTGAGGAACACAGAAAAGTGTTGACAGGGGTTAAAACGCAGCACATGTTCTCTCGTTTCACCAATGGACAATCATGGTGTCTGCTTTCCCACCCACACATATCATTACACTTCAAGCTATTAAATGCTTTATGAAGAAACCAATCTCATTTCACAACAGTATTAGTACAAGCAGCATTGACCAGTCTATTAAATGAGCAACAGAACATGTGTAAGTGCTCAGGAACAATGGCAGCTCTTTATTGTAGCACAACAGACGAGTTTGGAAGTAAAAACTCCATTCATTTTCTCCCTAAGGAAAATTAATTTTGAACGATAACTTATAAACCTGCAAAGACAGGCCTACTGTGTGTATTTACTTCTGTCGAAGCCGCCAGTTCATGTTATTTCAGCTTATTTTTTTAAATAATTGTGTTTAACAGTGGAGTTCTTGGTGAAAAACTACATTACCATGATGCTGTAAAGAAAAATTCCACCAATTAAAGTCAGTCTTGTCTTGTATTGTCTTTTTGATCAATGTTCAAAAATGTTTTTACTTCAAATCAAAGTTTGTAGTGTTATGATTCACCTTGTAGCAGATTGGCTTAGTTCATGGTTTATAACTAGGGATGCATGATATATCGGCCACCATTTCGGTCTTGGCCGATTCACTTTAATGTTAACGTTAATGTTATAGACCCAATAGGAATATTTAGCTGAAATATAAAAGCCAATAAATAATGGATTATTTCCTACAGCTGAGACACTTCAGATGCATACTGTTTGAATTTATTGGTTTTGGATTGCTTGAAATATGAATATCACATGCAACATGCTCAGAGCAAATCCCCCACATAGGCTTTATAATATTATAATTGTGTGCTTGGGAAAAAAAATCTCAAAATTAATATATATTTTTTAATTAATATTTATCGGCCAATATATCGATTTTTGGCTTTCAAATATAAAGAATTTTCGTTATTGGTATCGAACAAAATTTTCATGTAAGTGCATCCCCACTTTTAACTGTTAACCCTTTAACAACAACTAATTTAAAATCTCTATGGGAAAAATTTTATGAAAAAATACTTCCAGAACCAGCGCTGCTGAACAGGGTGCAGGCGCTAATGCACTCTGTGGTGAGGGGGGCGTGGTTGGCACGCTGTCTGCACGGAGAGATGAGTCAAGGGGCTGTGCGGTGAGTAAGTGGATCAAGGACAAGTGATAACACCTGTGTCTGATTCCAGTGATTGGTGTGGAGAGACGGTTAAAGCCAGCACAGTGGAGAGGAACGGAGAGAGAGAAAGGACTGGGACTTGTGCAGTGATCGAGTGGAAAGAGTGCTGGAGGAAGCAAGGAGAGCTGAATCAGCGTGGAAAGAGTTTGATTGAAGTTGTGCTGTGCTGTAGCGAGACTACGGTGAACGCGCTTTGTGCGCACCTTTTGTTTTGTTTGATTCTGAGTAAATAAAGTCTGTACAAGTCCCAGTATCGCCGACCCTGTCTCCTTCTTCCTATACCTCTACTAAGAACTGTATTACACTGGTGCCGAAAACCCGGGAAGAAGGAGTCTGCCGCCGCCATGCAGAGCCCGTCAGGATCGCCATTTGCGGACATCATTCAGTCACTCGCGGCTCTTCAGCGCGACCAACATCAAGCCCTGCTGAGCATGAAGGAAGAACAGGATCAGCGCTTCCAGGCGCTGCTCCAAGGCCAGCAGGAGGACCGCGAGTTGTTCCGGAGCTGCCTCGGCCGGGAGATTCCGGCCACTCCCCCACCAGCATCAGCCTCGGCCACACCATTGACCCTCGGGAAGATGGGTCCACAGGACGACCCGGAGGCGTTCCTGGACCTTTTCGAGAGGTCGGCCGAGGCCCGGGAGTGGCCCAAAGAAGACTGGCCGTTGCGTCTCATCCCGCTGTTGTCCGGTGAGTCCCAGATCGCCGCCCACCAACTGCCAGTCTCGAATCTCCTGGTCTACGACGACCTAAAGCGCGCCATCATTCAGCGGGTCGGCCGGACCGCCGAACAGCACCGACAACGCTTTAGGTCCCTGACCTTAGAAGAGGCCGGCCGGCCCTTCGTGTTGGCGCAACAGCTCCGGGACTCCTGCCGCAAATGGCTGATGGCCGAGGGTAGCGACGTCGAGAAGATAATCAATCAAGTGGTGCTGGAGCAGTTCGTGGGGAAGCTTCCAAAGAGAACTGCCCAATGGGTCCAGTGCCACCGCCCGACGTCGCTGGACCAGGCCATCCAACTGGCGGAGGATCACATGGTGGCGTGCTCGGGGGTCGGCGAATCCCTCCCATCGGTCTCTCTCTCTCCCTCTCTCTCTCTCTCTCTCTCTCTTCTAAGCCTCTCCCCGCTCCCAGGTCTCGAGGGGGCCTGGTGCCCCGCCCAGCGCCGCGGTGGAAGGCTGGCTGGCCGACGGATAGCGGTGCCGCGGGGAGAACGGGTCCGCGGGGGCCGACCGCGGGGACACATCCACCCTGGTTCCGGGGACAGCCCTCTCCCCACGTCAATCCCTTGGCCCCCTTCCCTCCGCTGGGGCAGCGGTAAAGCCTGGGCCGGCTTGTTGGCGCTGTGGGGACCCGGACCACTTTATTGACCGGTGTCCAGTGATGGAGGTGGGGACCCTGGTCCGGATCCCCGACGCGCCAACGGCCGCCCCCGATCAAGCTGGCCTGTACCAGATACCCGTGAGTATAAAGGGGGGTACTTATCAGGCTTTGGTGGATTCGGGTTGTAACCAGACCTCTATTCATCAAAGCCTGATTCGATCCGGGGCATTGGATAAAAGCCGCGTGGTTAGGGTGCGGTGTGTGCACGGGGTGGTGGAGAGTTATCCCTTAATGTCCGTCGCGGTTCTATTTCGGGGACAAAAACATAGTGTGGAGGTGGCAGTTAACCCGCGCCTCCAGCATCCGCTGATTCTGGGAACTGATTGGCCAGGTTTTGCGAAACTATTGGGGATTTTATGTGCGGATGCCTCTTGGGAAACGAAGCAGCGGGGGAAGACAGCGGTGGTGCAGGTGGGGGATGCTGTACCGGGACCTCTGGGTGCTGCTGCAGGGGAAGAGAGAGCTTTAGAGAGAAATCTCCTCTCTGAGCGCGATGATTTTCCCCTGGAGCAGTCCCAGGATGAAACGCTCAAACATGCGTTTGGTTCGGTCCGTTCCATCGACGGACAGCTACTCCACCCGGACCAACCGCTCTCGTACCCCTATTTTTGCGTGATTAAAGATCGGTTGTATCGGGTGACCCAAGACGCCCAGACAAAGGAAGATACAACCCAGTTGTTAGTGCCAAGGAGCCGCCGGGAAATGCTTTTCCAGGCGGCTCATTGTAATCCGATGGCCGGACATTTAGGGCAACGGGCGACACTAAACCGTCTCATGGCCCGATTCTTCTGGCCGGGCATTCACGAGAATGTGCGCAGGTGGTGCGCGTCTTGTCGTGAATGCCAGTTGGTGAATCCACCGGCCAATCCAAAAGCACCCTTGTGCCCCCTTCCACTGATGCAGGTCCCCTTCGAACGAATTGGTATGGACCTCGTCGGGCCATTAGAACGGTCAGCACGAGGGCATCGTTTTGCGTTAGTCTTGGTGGATTACGCAACACGATATCCGGAGGCAGTTCCGCTCCGCAACATCTCGGCTAAGAGTGTGGCAAGCGCGCTGTTCTCATTAATCTCCCGGGTGGGGATCCCTAAGGAGATCCTCACCGATCAAGGCACGGCGTTTATGTCACGGACGGTTCGCGAACTGTATGAATTACTGGGCATTAAATCGATTCGTACCAGCGTCTATCACCCACAAACGGATGGTCTGGTCGAACGTTTTAATCGCACGTTAAAAACCATGATTCGTAAGTTCGTTCACGAAGACGCCAAAAATTGGGACAAGTGGCTGGAACCCCTATTGTTTGCTGTACGCGAGGTCCCCCAAGCCTCCACGGGGTTTTCCCCCTTCGAGCTTCTCTTCGGTCGTCAGCCTCGTGGGGTGTTAGACGTGCTGAGGGAGACTTGGGAGGACGGACCGTCTGCTAGTAAGAACGAAATTCAGTATGTCCTGGACCTGAGAACAAAACTCCACACCCTGGGGCGGCTATCATTGGAGAATTTGTTACAGGCTCAGAACAGACAGAAACAGCAGTACAATAGGGGGGCTAGACTCCGACAATTTTCACCGGGAGATAAAGTTCTTGTATTACTCCCCACGTCCAGCTCGAAATTACTTGCAAAGTGGCAAGGGCCCTTTGAGGTCACACGGCGAGTCGGGGATCTCAACTATGAGGTAATTCGAACAGACAGGGGCGGGGGACGTCAGACGTACCACCTCAACCTGCTAAAAAAGTGGGTTGAGGCGGAGGCAGTGATGCTGGCGACGGTGGTGAGTGGGGAGGAGGACCTCGGGCCAGAGGCGCGGGTTAAATCTCAGTCCTTCTCTCTGGCTCCATCTGGTGACCATCTCTCGCCCTCACAGCTCACTGATATTAAAAGGGTACAAGCGGAGTTTTCTGACGTGTTCTCGCCCCTGCCTGGTCGAACGAATCTCATTCAGCACCACGTTGAGACAGATCCGGGGGTCGTTGTGCGTTGCCGTCCGTATTGATTACCTGAACACAAGAAGAAAACGGTTCAGGCCGAATTAGAAACCATGCTGGACATGGGGGTAATAGAAGAGTCCAACAGTGACTGGGCCAGCCCGATAGTTTTAGTTCCGAAACCTGACGGCTCGGTTCGATTCTGTGTGGACTATAGAAAGGTGAACGCGGTGTCCAAATTCGATGCTTATCCAATGCCGAGGATTGACGAATTGCTTGATCGGCTTGGCTCTGCTCGCTTTTATTCGACGCTGGACTTAACAAAGGGGTATTGGCAGATCCCCTTATCTCCAATGTCCAAAGAAAAGACAGCTTTTACCACGCCGTTCGGGTTACACCAATTCGTCACGCTTCCGTTCGGGTTGTTCGGGGCACCGGCGACTTTTCAGCGTTTGATGGACAGAATCCTCCGGCCGCATGCTGCGTATGCCGCGGCGTATCTGGATGACATTATCATCTATAGCAATGATTGGCAGCGGCATATGCAGTATTTGCGTGCTGTCCTAAAAACGCTGAGAAGGGCCGGGCTCACGGCGAACCCGAAGAAGTGTGCAATTGGGCGGGTAGAAGTAAGGTATCTGGGCTTCCACTTGGGTCACGGGCAGGTGCGTCCCCAAATTGATAAGACAGCAGCGGTTGCAACCTGTCCGAGTCCTAAGACCAAAAAGGAGGTTAGACAGTTCCTGGGGCTAGCGGGATACTATAGACGATTTGTGCCTAATTATTCGGACCTCGCTAGCCCGCTGACTGATCTGACTAAAAAGGGCGCTCCAGATACGGTCCAGTGGACGGAGCAGTGCCAGCAGGCTTTTACCCAGATAAAGGCTGCTCTGTGCGGGGGACCGCTTTTACATGCTCCTGACTTTTCTCTCCCTTTTATCCTGCAGACAGATGCGTCGGACAGGGGCTTGGGCGCGGTCCTGGCCCAGGAGGTGGAGGGGGAGGAACGGCCGGTGCTGTACATCAGTCGGAAGCTCTCTAAGAGAGAGACGATGTACAGCACCATTGAGAAGGAGTGTTTGGCCATCCGCTGGGCTGTCCTCACCCTCCGCTACTACCTCCTGGGACGGGAGTTCACCCTGTGTTCGGACCACGCTCCCTTGCAGTGGCTCCACCGCATGAAAGATACCAACGCGCGGATCACCCGTTGGTATCTGGCGTTACAACCTTTTAAGTTTCAGGTGGTCCACAGGCCGGGGGCGCAGATGGCTGTGGCCGACTTCCTCTCCAGGAGGGGGAGGGGGGGGGCTGCAGGCCGGACGGTTCCCCGGCCTGAGTCGGGCGGTGGGGGTATGTGGTGAGGGGGGCGTGGTTGGCACGCTGTCTGCACGGAGAGATGAGTCAAGGGGCTGTGCGGTGAGTAAGTGGATCAAGGACAAGTGATAACACCTGTGTCTGATTCCAGTGATTGGTGTGGAGAGACGGTTAAAGCCAGCACAGTGGAGAGGAACGGAGAGAGAGAAAGGACTGGGACTTGTGCAGTGATCGAGTGGAAAGAGTGCTGGAGGAAGCAAGGAGAGCTGAATCAGCGTGGAAAGAGTTTGATTGAAGTTGTGCTGTGCTGTAGCGAGACTACGGTGAACGCGCTTTGTGCGCACCTTTTGTTTTGTTTGATTCTGAGTAAATAAAGTCTGTACAAGTCCCAGTATCGCCGACCCTGTCTCCTTCTTCCTATACCTCTACTAAGAACTGTATTACACACTCCATTAGTAAAACTAACACTTTCCGCAGTATATTACTCACCTTGTGACATAGATGTAGGCCCCTCCCAGTAAAACAGACACTAGCAACACTAGTATAAATATTGCTAGAGCCATACTTCCCCCGTCAAAAGAAGAGTCTGCCGCAGCCTCAGCCACTAGACAAGAGACAATGATGAAATACATTAAGAATTCATTTTCGCTTGCTTTACCCACTACAACAACCATCAAAACTTTATAACATCTATCAGATAACAAGGGTAACAATGGGTACACACTGAGATACAATCTATAAATTCAAACCTTTGCTTACATTAGGACATTAAACAATAAAACTTACCCTCTAGTGCATGATTGCCAGAACATTCATGATTGGCTGAAAATATTAGGGAAAAATAATATATATTTCAGCTTCTAATGATATAATAATATAATAAAACAATAACAATGGAAATGCATTTTGTTTTTATGTAGTATTCACGTCACAGATATTTAAATATTTTATTTGAATATTCATTAAATATCTGTAATGCAGCTTCATTCAAAACAAAATGCAATTGTTGGGATCAACATTATTTTTTGAAATGTAAAAAAAATCATATAAAAAAATGATAATAATAATAATAATAATACATCTTTGCTTAAGGGATAAACCCCTGTACGTTTATATACTTACAAATTCTCTATAAATACCTCTGTAAAAATCTTTCCTTACCTCTGCAAAGAGGCAATGGACCACTCCAAAATGAGGGATTTCCCAGAATGCACTTGATGGCAATCTCACCAATGAGCTCATAGCCTTGGTAGCACATGAAGGTTAGAGACTCTCCTGGTAGGTAAAGCCTTTTAGACAATATCTGGTAGCCGTTGTCAGGAAGGCCGGGATTCTCACAGGACACGGACTCTTCCGCTATTATACAGTGTAAGAAATAAAATCAGGGATAATTGAGGGATAAAAAAGGGATTTAAATATAAAAAACAGAGGTAGGAACTCACAAACGCAATGTGGCAAGCGAGACGTCCAAACAGGGGTGCCGGGTTCTCGACCATAGCAAGTGAGTGTAGCGCCGCCCTGCAGGATAAATCCGGGAACGCAGCTATACTGGATAGTGGTGCCAACCAAGAGTTTGGGATCAGACAGAGTGCGTGTGGAGTGCTCCACGTGTCCAGGGTCTGTGCAGTACATAACTAATGAGGGGAAGGGAGGAAAAAAAGACAAAGCTGAGAAGGATGCCATTTGAATCTGCTGAAAGTAAATGTCTTTCAGACTCCAATTAGCAAAGACACCCAACTCTGCTGGACTGACTCACTCTTCTCACAGAACGGAGGCTGGGTGTTCCAGCTTAGGTCCACCTGACAGGTCAGGGTTTCACTGCCCACGAGGTCATACCCCGGGTCACACTGATATGTGATGCGAGCTCCACGCACCAGCGCTGCATGAGACGTGGTCTTCCAGCCGTTCTGGATCTCAGGTAGATCTGGACACGAGTCATTGCGTGATACCTCTGGAAAACAGGGGTAAAATCAATGAACCTCTTCTATTTCTCCCATATAAGTTAGAAATAATTTTTTTTCGTGCATAATTTGTTCATTACCACACACACACACACACACATATATATATATATATATATATCTAAGTGCTTTCAAATCGATTTGTAAGTTTGTAAGTATACTGTATAATATAGTATATATAGTATATACACACTTATATATAGTATAAACACACACACACACATATATATATATATATATATATATATATATATATATATATATTTTCACCCATATAAACAGTGTACATGCAAACATCTACAAAACCATTTAAATATAAAGTATATACTTACATGTGGATTAATACATACATGCTTGTACATTACTATGGCCCACCACAAAAAACAACAAAAAAAAAAGCAAAAATAGCAACGTATCTCACAATTCATTTTTTATAACTTGGAATTGTGAGTTATAAACTTGCAATTCCGGGAAATAAAGTCTAAATTGCAAGTTATACACTTAGAATTAAAAAAGTTTTTCAGGAGAAAAGCTTGTTATTTTTTTTTTAAGCTTTTGGACTTACAGTTTTTGCCTTGCGAATAATTAAAGTCCCATCTACATAGATTAAAGTAGGAATCTGAGTCATAGAGACCAGAATATCACTTGAGGGTGGATTTTATTGACCTAGGCCATTAAGTAACCACTTAGTAAACACCAACAACACTCTGGTGACCACATAGCAAAGCGCTAACAGCTAACAACCACCCGCAATACCCTAGCATCTCGGAGGGACTTATGCACCACTCATTCACTATTTTTTAGGAAGTGAAAAATGTAGTTTTTAAAAATATTTTTGGCCTTCTGAGAATCAAAGAGGCAACTTGAAACCTACACAAATGTGTCGGCTTGGTGTGTAGGAGCATGTGAGCTAACCACTAGGTCACAGCTCTGAAAGCTTTATTCTGAATGCTTTATCTTGTAGCTGGCAAGGTTATAAATAAATGTAAAAGGTCTGAGAAGATTTTTTTTTTTTAAAAGGCATTCAAAACTGTTTTTCAACAGATCAAGTATTCTTAGCATGGCCTGATGTACGTGAATGATGTTAGTTAGCGCAGTGCTAATGGGGTTTGCTTTAGATTGCACGTTCATTCAGTTCATGAGCGGATTGATCATGAGCAGCTTGGCAGCCATTGTGAATTCATAGGGCTTCGGTGACCTTTATTCTCCTGGGAACTTTATCCTCTACCATTATACGAACATAAAAAGAGTATCTCTGTCTCTTTAGTTCAAGCCATTACTGGAGATTACATGCAAACGTGCTGTGTGTGTGTGTGTGCTTCCTATGGGAGAGGATAGAGACTAAACTAAATGTGAATGAATGAGGGCAGCCAGAAGAGGAGGAGGAGAAGAGGATGGTGAGAGATGAATAGTTGTGCCTGAGCGAAAAAAAAAAAGCTTTGATTGAAATGCATGCAGACCACTTGAGAACATAATGGATCGGTTGAAGTAATTTGAAAAGAAAGAGTTGCATTGAGACTCTGTGAGTTCGTGACACTCATTCTAGACTGAAAATTTGTCTATAAAGCTTGTCTTTAACAGGGAGAGGTGGGAAAATAAATACTGTGACCGACTAATTTCGTTTAGCCAGATTTTTGACTATCAACAAAGTCTGGTCTAATGTTGTTATTGTTAAAGGAGTAGTTCACTTTAAAAAAAACTTTTGCTGATAATTTACTCACCCCCATGTCATCCAAGATGTCCATGTCATTCTTTCTTCAGTCGAAAAGAAATTAAGGTTTTTAATGAAAACATTCCATGATTTTTCTCCATATAATGGACTTCAATGGAAACCGAACGGTTCAAGGTCCAAAAGACAGTTTCAGTGCAAACTGTTCAAAGGGCTTTAAACGACACCAGACTATGAATAAGAGTCTTACCAAACGAAATGATCGCTCATTTAAAAAAAAATTTCTCTCTTTTGTGATGCACGTTTGTGACTCTCCTGTTTTCGAACTTGTTCATCAAAATGAACAAATCTTTTTTCGTGTCATTTGGTTCATTCAACGAACGAAATTCCCGAGTTGACTCGGGAAAAGATTTGTTCATTTTGATGAACGAGTTTGAACAGGAGAGTCACGAACGCACATCACAGAACAGAGCAAGGCGACCATTTGAGCTTATAAAACTTAAACTTTTTTTCTTTTCTTTTTTTTTTTTAAATGAGTGATCTTTTCGCTAGATAAGACCCTTATTCATCGTCTGGTGTTGTTTAAAGCCCTTTGAAGCTGCACTGAAACTGTCTTTTGGAACTTGAACCATTTGGTTCCCATTGAAGTCCATTATATGGAGAAAAATCCTGGAATGTTTTCATCAAAAACTTTAATTTCTTTTTGACTGAATAAAGAAAGACATGGACATCTTGGATGACATGGGGTGAGTAAATTATCAGCAAAAGTTTTTTTTTTTTTTAAGTGAACTATTCCTTTAACTAAAACTAAAACCTAAACCAATAAGAAAAAATAAATAAATTGAAGAAATATAATAAAAATAAATCTGAAATAAATTAATTCAAATATTTAAATATTAGATGAAATATCAGCAACTAACTGAAATAAGATAAAAAATAAAATAAAAACTATTTATACTACTACTATAAATAAAATGTTTCTTATATATATATATATATATATATATATATGTATATATACATATATACACATATATATATATATATATATATATATATATATATATATGTAATTATTTATCAAATATTTTTTTTAATATTACTGTATTTTTTATATTACTGTATATAAAAATAAGCTGAAGTTCTAAAATGACTAAAAGTAATCTAAAATAAAAATAAATTACAGCTATTATATATATATATATATATATATTAAAGTTTGTGTTAAACTCTTCAGCTCCAGACAATCAGGTTTAGAAAACACTCTTCTTGCCTGTTTGCAAGATGCATGAGAATGAATATAATTTATGCCTTTTAAACGCTGCCATTATCTTGAGTGTCCTTACCCATGTAGTTGATGATAAAACCCTCGCCCTTCCCGAAGACCAGGCCGGCTGGGTCTGAGTGGAAGGTGATGGTGAGGTCAGGGGTCGAGGAGGACATCTTAAACGGGCTGGTGCCCCCAACAAACTGGCCCAATATACGAGTTGTGACCTCATCTCCATCCAAAATGGTTAGCATATCACTGTCGCTCAGATTTAAGCTGATGAGAGAGAGAGAGAGAGAGAGACAGTGGGCGAGAGGTGAGTGTGTGGGAGGAAATGAGAAAATGAACGAGTCATTCAGGCGGTTTGGTGAGTCATCATCTCATCCAGCAGGTCTGTGGGTTTCATTGGATTTCAGCAGTAGCTTGACGCATCAGCCACCAGAGCAGCTAAACCCGCAGACTTTGCTGTTGTTCTCAGAACAGAATGTTCCAGACGGACTTACAGCTGCACGTCCAGCAGAACACGTTTGTCCTCGCCGACGTGAATCCTCCAGCTGCAATCCTCGCCCTCCCCGTACCATTCGGGCCAGTTTGGGGACAGGATAACGCCGCTGGGGCCGGAGAGGTCACCACCACAGAGAGCTGCAGAGAGTCCACATACATATATTTGGTTAACAGTAGTATTAAAATATTACATGCAATTTTATTTGAAATTTTATATACTGTATATATACACACACAATATTTGATATTAAATGGGTATATAATTACAATTATCTATGTAATTATAATTATATGTATAATATATTATAAGTGCATATTATAAAAATGTCAATTGTTTTATACATTGATTCTCACTTTGTTGTATATATATATATATATATATATATATATATATATATATATATATAGGTATATATACACACACACACACACACACACACACACACACACACAGTATTTTATTTGTATTTTATTATTTATTAATAATACATGTTTTTACATATTTTCTTTAATATCAGCAAGTATGTAATTTGGTATTAAATCGATATATTATTACAAATAATTATAATTAAACAAATAACTGTTTTATAGTGTACATAATAGAAAAGTTAATGTATACATTGACACATTGACACACATTCACAAACATATACGTATATATATATATATATATATATATAAATATTTATTTTATTTTAATTTTATATTTATTTATATTATTGTCTGAAGTGTGTCCTGTGCATTTAGTTGTGTAAATGTGCATTTCGATATTAATTGTGACATCCAAGAGATATCAACAATGTGTAACACATCATGTGGGGTCGACCAGTGTTATGTTCAGCTGTTATCTATTTTGACATATTGTCACAGAAAACCTCCTTTGTCCTATCTAAAGATGAATTACAACAAGGTTAAATATAGAGCAATAACTAATACTAATCGACTACCGATGATTAGGCCGTACAAATATTCATCAGTCTAGCAGTAAAAAATATGAAATTCTAAAAAGCACTTCTTAGATCAAAGGCTGTTTTGGGATATTAGCATGCCATTAAAATTCAATGCAATTACCATAACATAATTAGAGAAGATGTGCCAATTAGCTGCAAATCTGCCATCCCATGACATTTAGTGAAGGATTAATGTTATCTTGTAGTGATGTGTGTTATGTAACATATAGGGTGATGCAGTGAGATGATGTACCTTTACAGAGGGGCTCTGTGTCGTTCCAGTAGGGGTCTCGTGTGTTGATGCACTCAATGACGGGTGGGCCCTGCTCCAGCGAGTGGCCGGGGTCACAGGTGAACTGCACCACTGTCCCAACGCTGTAAGTCGGGTCTGTCGTGCTGAAGTTTCCGTTTTGGATGAACGGCTCATAGCAGTGGCCCTTCTCAAACGCTAAACGTGAAGAATTAGAAGTTCTGTTAGCTATAGAGTAACAATCAACAATCTAGAGAAAAATGTTAACCTTAGCTGTTTTATATATATATATATATATTTATGATTAAATTAAAATATATTATATATAAAACATATATTAAAATATATGTTTATGCATGTGATAAAAATAAATTTACAGTAAGGTTGTATTTGTTATTTGTTCACATTAGTGATGAACTAACAATAAAAAATACTTCTAAAGCATTTATTAATCTTGGTAAATTTTCATTTCAAGATTTACAAATATATCATTAAAATCAAAAGTTGTATCTTTTATTATTTTGTATTGGACCTGAGCTAACATGAACTAACAATGAACAGTAGCATTTTTTGTTTTACAAACATTAGCAATTATAAATAAATACTTGCTTCAAAATAAAAAATAAAGTCATTAATGTTACCATACAAATATTAGATCAAAGACATTAAGATAAAATATTGAACCAAATTTATTTATTTTAAAGCACATTTTGCAAGTACAAAACTTAACACATAAACAATAGGTGTAAAAAATAGATCAGAAAATGTTCAAAATTTAACAGTGATTTTTCACACCATTTAATTATATAGTTTTAAATGTGTCATTGGTGTTACATTGCATAATTTTCATAGATTTTCATTGAAAAAAACCCAAAAAACAATTATAAATAATAAAACCATTTCAGAGGCATAAAAACTGATCTAATGTTCCTAAAACGTTTATCTATTGCAATGCAATTCAAAGATTTGTAAGTGTTACTTAAATGTTTTAATACTTTTTGGGCTGCTGTACATTCAGTTTGATGAATCTGCCCAACATATTTAGTGGCATACCTTCGTAACGTATATTAAAGCCAGTGTTGTGACTGTTAGGTTGGTCTGTTATAAACTGGACACGAACAGCCGGGCCTTCGCTGATCACTCCCTCAAACGGGATGGGGCCACCCCGGCCAGAATCAAACAAGACCACCGATCCTGCGTCGAGGCCGCTCCATAAGACAAGCCTGTGTCATGGGAGAAAGGCTGAGCCTCTTATATACATATAAAAAGAATGCATTGATTTAGATACGTGCAATTACCTGTCTGTCGGACCCAACACCATTCTCTCCAAATGCAGGTGCAGCCTTTGGCCATTAGGGGCCTCCAGGGACCAAGAGCAGCTGCGGTCCAGGGTGCTGTTAGGGCCCGAATGGGGTGAGGGGGACAGAACGCGGCCCACCATGGCGTTTTTTACAACCCCGCCACACAAAGCTTAAAAAAGAACATGTGCCAATAAGAGCAAGGCTTATGATTCACTTTTTAAAATGAACAATAAAAGAAAGTATAATATTAAATGTGTTTATATCATTTTTTTATAATATATATATTAATTGTAAAAATCTATTTATATAAAATAAATATTTAGTTTTTTCAATAATATAAATATTTAAAAAAATCTATTTATATATATTTGTTTCATAACAGTTTCACATTATATATATATATATAACATTAGATTTTTTTTAAATATACATTTATAGATTAAATAATTAAAATATATAATATATTATTAACTTGAAGGTGCATTGGCAAAGTTTCTGAGTTTTTGCAGAACTACGCCCCCTCTGGCGACAAGTGAAATTGCAACCAGAGGTGTGTACGCTCAAGGACCACACGCACACGCACGCTTGCACGAGCTGTTCATAACCAAAGGAGCATCAGCCGCACAAATCTTTTGTTACAGTCATAATGTTGTCAGAGGTAATAAAGTTATAAATACGCAAGTCATTTTAAATATATGAAAGGAAAGGCATTTGAGTAAATTACACACTTATGTGTGTGTGTGAGGGAAAAACGGGGGTATTAGAAAACTTTGGTTTTTGTTTCCATCTATCTCCATGTTGAACTGTTTTATATGTTTACTGTATCCACTTATGATTGTATTATTATGGAAACACGTTTGTATAGGATCCGTTTGAGCCCTAGAGCAGACCGGAGATCTCTCCATTTGTTGAAAGCTTCCCGATCTTGACTCTCGTCTTATTCCGACGCCTGGCACTAGACAAAAGTTTTCTTCTCTTTGTCTTACGTGGAGTTTGCGTTGGGCTTTGAAATGAACTACAAGCCGGTCTCTTTGAATCCATCTTCTACTTTTGTCGAAAGTTGACTAAAGTTGTGTCGCTCGAGTTGTCTTCGCTGATGCGGAGAATGGCGGCGAATACACAAACCTGCCAGACATAGCCAGGCGAGCATGACGTCACGCTCAGTCTCAAACTCCTTCTTATTTATTTTACTGTACAGGACTATAGAAGTGATCACAGTGATCAGAGAAGGACTCATTCAGCCCATCAGGCAATTGTTTAAGCATGTATGGGTTAGAAAAACGGCTATTTTTAACATGAAATATTGCGCAACGCACCTTTAAAATATAAATTATTTTAATATAGAAAAAAGAAAGTCGCTGCTACATGCTACAGTGTTCCGGTAGTTCTTAGCTTATTGTTGAGTGGTTGGGGTCTATGGGGTTTTTCTGCCCATTTTATTTCTCTTCCAGATGAAGAGTTTGAACTTTAGTTTAATACTTAGTGTTAGGGGTTTGTTCAAATGACTACCAATTATTAATATGAAGATTTCAGCACTTTTCACAGCTTTTCCTGTGACTCTGCGAGTCTCACCTCTGCAGCTTGGCTCGCGTTGGCTCCACACAGGCAGCGAGGCATTGAGGCATGTGAGTGTGGCGTCCCCCTGCAGGTGGTATCCCATGTGACACTGGAAATGAGCCGTGCCTCCGGGATGCAGATCTTTGACTGACACCTCCCCAAAATGAGGCCGTCGAGGTAGGGCACAACTCAGGCGAAAAACTGGAAGAGAAAGATCAGATTGTCCTTTATGAGACATGAGTAGATAATGCCAGATATTTTGGAGGGTGAACTATTTCTTTAATCATTTATGAGTAAAACTATGATAATTCCACTCGAGAACACTAATCGAAACAAATTGAAGCCAAGGCAGCACAAGAAAGCCTTGTGAAATGAGCCCTGGAGTGAAACGACAACATTAGCCGGTTAATGGACATGGCAGAAGCCATCAAGTTAGATAACCGAGCAAATTAACCAAACGGAGAATTTTTCAATTAAAAGTTTGAAGGCAAAGCCAACTACTGAGATTTCTGGATGAGGAGCATTTTTAACATTTACACAAGCACCTGTGGGATTCATTTCCGTAATATTAAGCTTCACAGTTTTATGTAAAAGAGCAATTATCTCCACAAATCCCACAGATGCCCTGTTTAATGCATAAGTGGCTTGTTTTGAAAGACTCACTTTGATAATGCAGCTGGAACATGCCGACTCCTCCCTCTGGAGACGACCGGTAGAACACGGACAGCGTGTTGGTTGGACTGCGGATCACCTGACCTTCCACCAGAAGCGTCTGATTGGCCAGTACGAGCAAGGCTCCGCCTTCATCCACACCTCTGATTGACAGCTGCTCGCCCTCTGACAGGTTGACACTTTTGACCTAAGAAAACCACAATACATTAAGCAGTATGTAGAGCATGTACAGTATGACATTCACATATTATAGTTAATTTGAGAACAGAAAAGTAATGTGTACTAATGATGGTATCTGATGATAATACCATGGTACTATATAAAGAGAATGTCTCTTTTTAATCATTAAAATTACTTCAAATAGTCAAGAAACTTCCATATAAGTGTGTGTGTGCGAAATTATAATATTTATTTGTACCAAATTTCATATATACTGATATTAACCAAAATATTTGATAAATAATTATGATATATTTATAATATTAAAAACAAAAATGACAATACTGTAAATATTGCATTATATATATTTAAATATTAGGGCTGTCAAACGATTAATCACGATTAATCGCATCCAAAATAAAAGTTTGTGTTTACATAATATATGTGAGTGCACTGTGTATAATTATTTTGTATATTTATAAATACACACACATGCATGTATATTTAAGAAAAAATATTATTTATATATAAAATATTTATATTTATATATAATATAAATTATATATCAATCTATGTACAGTATATACATGAAAATATTTCTTAAATATATACAAGAATGTGTGTGTATTTATATAAAATAATTATTCACAGTACACCCACATGTAAACACAAACTTTTATTTTGGATGCAATTAATCGCGATTAATCATTTGACAGCCCTAATATATATATATATATATATAATCGTTTCACGTTGATTAATCGCGATTAATTGCAGCCAAAATAAAATTTATATTTTCAATTTTCTGATGTTGATAATGTATGTGTGTGTGTGTATATATATATATATATATATCAACATCAGAAAACAGTGATTGTTCACACCATGTTAAAAAGTTATTCATTTAAATATATAGTTTTAAATGTGTCATTGGTGTTACATTGCATAATTTTCATAGATTTTCATTGAAAAAAAAAATGATTTAATAAAACCATTTCAGAGAAAAAGAATAACAGGAACAACATGTTTTTCTTTGAAACAACATGCACCAATAAACAGTGCACAATAAAAGCAATAACGCGCATTAAGAAAGAAAAAAGTGTGCATTTTGATTTCACGTTTAAAGCATATCACAGCCAGCATGGATTATCCATATCTCATCTGATCCCATGAGGACAGTGTGTGTATACATACCAAATTAATTAAAAGTGTTTAATCTCTTGAGACAGAATATTTAACACACACACACAAACACACACACAGACACAGCAGGCCTTTGGCTGTGGATTAAAGGGGTAATTAGAGATTATGTGACGGGCATGAATAATCCGCAGAGGGAGAGCGGACGTGGACACGGGATTACAGCAGGCAACACGCGGGCACTGCGGCAACAGGCCCCCGTTTCTCTCATTAACATCTGCTTGTGTGGCAACACACTGCTGCTGCCGGCCCGAAGTGCTCAACGCCAGTAATTAGATCCCTGCAGTTACACCATCCGCCACTAGAGGGCACGTTCGACTGGACACAGAGTTGTTAAGCGCAGTTACCTGTATCCGAGCGAGGGTGTTGGGGAAATGTGCTAGGCACAGGAGAAATCAAATTGCATTGCAGGAAAAAAAAAAAAAAAAAAAAAGCTTGTTAGGCAGCAGATTGCATTTCCAGATAACTCCCTCGGGGCCTCGGTGTTCTGCAGCTGGTTATTTGTTGAATTACACAGTCTATTAGCATGTCATTTAAAGAGATTCATGCATTAACAGGTGCCTGTTTAGTCAAGAGAAACCAGCGCAGTTTGTCATATCGTTTGAAGGAGGGGGAATGTATGATTAATGGATGCAATATTCAAACCTCGTATTCAAAGGTGTGCAAAACTGAACCCCCGTAGAGCTGTAAGTGTACCTGTAGCTCCACGCCATAGCCCGTGTACACCGTCACCGTGTACGTGCACTGCAGGAACGCTCCTTCGGGAAGAGGAGGATCGTCTGAAGAGTCGATGTAGCCCTCTGGGTCGGTGAAATTGACCCTGCAGTTTGTTACAGCTGGAGGAAAATGCCAGACAGACATTAAAAAACCCAACTGAGAATTTCTAAAAAGGAGATTTGAGAAGGAAAACAACAGTCAAGAGAAACATCTATTGAGCTGTAGGGGAGCGCGACGCACGTAAAGGCCAATTTATACTTCTGCGTAGGGTGCGCGCAGTAGGTACGGCGTAGCATACGCACAGACGCGTCCCATACCGCGTACCCTTCGCCGTCGCCTGACGCGCACCTCCTCAAAAATGTAACTACACGTCGCGACGACACGGACAGCAAGATCAGAGATTGGACGGCTTGGTAGCATCGCATTTCCTCCTACGCATTTCCGCACGTACCTTCTCACGTATTTCCACCACTGTCTATGATTTCCACACGTACCATCTCATCCGACGTCTTCTCTCATTTCTGCCTTTCAGTTTTAGTAATTTCACTAAAATTTAGTGTTTTTCCACCTCAATAAGCTCCAACTCCAACATGATTCGCTCTCTTTCAGTTGTTATTGCTTGTAGTAACCTAGCCGCGAGGAATCTAAACACAGTGGAACATTAAAACCCTCCGCCGCCAACTAGCGTTTCGGAGCAGTACTGTAGAGCAACCAAGACCTGAACGCAGAAGTATAAATGCTCACAACGGCGTCGCCTACGTGCGTAGCCAACGCCGTACACTACGGCGTACCCTCGACGCAGAAGTATAAATTGGCCTTTAGAAACGCAAGACCGGCGCGCCTCAAAGTTGTCTTTCATTATTACTCACGTCACGCCACCGGCCTCGCGCATCGCGCCGTCTTCTTACATCCCCTGCCCTCGATCGTCGTGCCCTCCACAGCCAACTAGACATTTTGTGCTAAATGAATTTCAAACTCTGGTGACAGCTAACGTTAGCCTTGCAGACGGAAGAGTGAATTCTCTGTTTGCGCTGTTCTGGATTAGTGGGTGTGGCTTGCGGAGCTGTGCAATGCGGTGCATTGTGGGACCTGTAGTTTTTCAAACAAATGCGCTCCTTGGTTATTTCCTGTCTTCTCTCGGTCAAGACGGCACCAAATTAAAAAATTCTTTTACATTTCGACTACATATATAATACACTTTCTGCTTTTGGTAGCCTGTTTGTTAATGTGCTTGTTTCTGAACGTCAGTCGCTGGTTCCGCCATCTCGATGACATCATGCACGTCGTTAAAGGAGTAGTTCACTTTTGCAAAACCTTTTGCTGATAATTTACTCACCCCCATGTCATCCAATATGTCCATGTCTTTCTTTATTCAGTCAAAAAGAAATTAAGGTTTTTGATGAAAACATGCTCAAGCTCAATGCTCACCTTGCTCTGTTCGAACTCGTTCATCAAAATGAACAAATCTTTTTCCAAGTCATTTGGTTCATTCAAAGAGCGAAACAAACAAATTGACTCGGAAAAAGATTGGTTCATTTTGATAGAGAGTCACAAACGTGGGTCACAGAACAGAGCAAGGCGAGCGTTTGAGCTTATAAAACTTAAACTTTGTTATTTATTTATTAAATGAGCGATCGTTTCGCTTGATAAGACCCTTATTCATCGTCTGGAATCGTTTAAAGCCCTTTGAACAGTATGCAATTTGCACTGAAACTGTCTTTTGGACCTTGAACCGTTTGGTTCCCATTGAAGTTCATTATATGGAGAAAAATCCTGGAATGTTTTCATCAAAAACCTTAATTTCTTTTCGACTGAAAAACGAAAGACATCTTGGATGACATGGGGGTGAGTAAATTATCAGCAAAAGTTTTTTTGAAAAGTGAACTACTCCTTTAAAGATGGCTAGCGATGATGTTTTTATGCACATTTTGGATATTTTATTCAGATCTTTGGGTTTCCACCCAGCATTTCTAAGCAATCTCTGAACATTTGCATAAAAAGTGAATGGAAACCCAGCTAGCCAATGATTCCCAGTGCGAAAGCAACCATACGTCATTCACTTTCAATGAGAGTTGGCGAGACTGTGCTGGTAATGCGATGAAGTTAATTAGAGGTCAATTATATGTAAATGTGCAGCAGCATGAGGAACAATTAACAACCGACAGCAGAATGACGCATTTGGGATTCAGGTTTCTCCGAAACTCGGTCTTACCTGAGGTGAGAACACCAGACACTGTGTCGACGTTCACAGTGGTGGGAACCGCGTCGGTGAGCGAAGGCTTCGTGTGTGCCGTTGGAGCATCAGAATCCCAGCTCGGGGTTGCGACGGCCTCCGGGGGTTCGGTGGGGAGGTCGTAGGCTGGAGGTAAAGTGGGGTGTGTAGGGAGCATCTTCTTCAGGAAGGGCTGGTCGGGGGAGAGGGCATCTGCTCCGGCCTCGAGCCCCTTCCCCAACATGGGCACCAGATTAGGCGGTAAACCACTGGGAAGAGTCACACCCTTCTGGGCCAGAAGATGATCCTTGCCTGACAGGACAGACTCAAGGAAGTCCTGCCCCATGGATGCCACTCCTCTGGGGGTTTCTTTAGGGGCTGGCACCTGCATCACTGGAGTGAGGCTGGGTGGAGGGGTCAAATCGCTCTCATCTGGGACAGAGAAGAAGAGTTTGAGAACAATTAGTAGGGAGTAACCAAGTTGCTTCCTGCAAACATAATGATATCCCACTTGCTTGCCCAAGACAGCTATGGAGTGCAAATTGCTCTGCTTCTCAAACTTGTCTCGTGAGAGAAAGAGCCCAGTAAGAGATCTCATGTCTAATTGTCAAGATAAGTCTGCAAACAAAAGTCAAAGATCTCATTAAATACTTCCAAGTTCAGATCATCCGAGCTATCCATACTTTTATAGCACTATATTCTATGGCTTCGTCTGAAATCGCATACTATGAGTAGGTACTTATTTTGAATATAGCAACAGATACTTTTTTTTTAATGGTCTATATAGTATGAATGTAATCCGAACATTCTACATTAGCCATGTTGTCATAGTCATGTGACCCACCACACTGTAAAAAAATATTTTCAAGATTTGTTATCACAACATTTTTTCTTTTGTCAAATCAACTTAAATAATTTATTTAGTTGAGATAACTTATTATTTTGAGTTTTTGATGATTAAATCATTCTCCTTCATTGTATAAACTCACTTCTTCCAGTTCAATCAACTTAAAATTTTAAGGCAACCAGGTTACTTAAATTTTTAAGTTAAACCAACAATATTTTTTTTACAGTGCAGGTTCTGTTTACTGCCATTCATAAAACTTTCCTGTAGTTTTCATTGTAAACCTATTTAAAACATGTTTGGTAATTCAAATAAAGCTAAAATATAACAAAATAAAGTAAATGTTGTATTTAAATTTTAAAATTAAACTAAATAAAAATGTTATATTTTGCCTTGGCAACTCACTCAGATAATTAGGTTTAAGGTAAAAACTAACACTAAACTAAAACTAAAAAATAAAATGGTAACATTTAAAAAAAAAACTAATGATAAAAACAATTACTAAAATTTTAAGTGAAAACTGAAAATATAAAAATAAAAGCTTTTTCAAAATATTAATAAAAAGTATACAACTACATCAATAATACTAAAATAACACTGCTCTGTAATGTACCTTTAAGACATGGCGTCACACGGCACTGTCACTATATTTTCACTGGCTCCACCACACAAAAAAATGACATTTTATATGCAAAAAATTATTTTGTTTAAAGGTAATATAAGTATTCCAAACAACCTTTTACTAGAAATAACGATAAAACCATAATATTACTTTCTAACTCCATAGTTAATGTTACACACTGTGTAACTCGTTTAGCTTATTCTTAGCTAAAAACACTTAGTTCTTTCAAAAATATATGTGCTCATTAATGTATATTTACTTCAAGTAATAAAGTATTCTCGTGAGTGTATAATATGTAAGGGATTCTAATGTCGGTCGCCATGTTGTCCCTCCATCTTGAAAGTACATTAGCCAAAGAGGGACATACCCGTTTAATTCAAGCTTCGCCTTTCGCGTTTACGCTTGAGTTAACACTCATGGACGAGGTCGAACTGGAAGCCATGTTAATCTTGGACTACATTGGCCACCGTAGGAGTTGAAACGAAATCAGAATTGAGAGGAACAGAAACTAATATTCACTGGATGGTCATATACCTTTTCACCACTAGATGGGGGTAAAAATCACACAGTGTAGCTTTAAGAAATTGAAAAATTTTCTGAAGGTGTGAGTGTCTTGTGAGCAATAAAAATCAACCTCTGAGCTATACAATTTTCCACTGGAAAAGCATGTTGCCAAGCACATAAGTGCAATAATATGCATGATTTGCGATAAGGTTATGGTGAAGTGCAGGCTTCCACTGCTGTGTTCAGTCAGGGCAGTATCGCTGATGAGGGGTCGGTGTAACAGAGGAGGGAGTTCAAGCTAAAGGGAAATCTAGTTTTCACTGCACTATTCTGGGTCTGTCAGGCTGAGTGGACCCCTGCCAGGACAGTAAGTTATTCAAACTCTCTCTCTTTCTGTGCTGCTGCTGATTCAGGTTTGCAGACAGTCCTTCACGGGGAGGATGGACTGGAACGCAAATGAAGCGTGTCGGAGAAACGACGCCATAAGAAATGCGCCGACACGCCGGTTCCTACGTGTGTTAATTTGTGGAGCTTCACCTCCTGCGCGCCAACCCACCGCATGAACTCATTCTCATGCCCACTGAAACACCTCAACCTTTCATTTTCTGCCAAAAAGGATGTCAATGAGCCAGTTAAGTGACATCAAATTGTCATGCTTATGCTTTGTTTAAATTGGATTTGAACCTAAAAAGACATTTTTCTGCACTTCACTCCCACTCCCAAAAGTATATGCGACCACATTCAAATAAAATATTAAAATGTTCTATACACACTCACCTAAAAGATTATTAGGAACACCTGTTCAACTTGTCATTGATGTAATTATCCAATCAACCAATCACATGGCAGTTGCTTCAGTGCATTTAGGGGTGTGGTCCTGGTCAAGACAATCTCCTGAACTCCAAACTGAATGTCAGAATGGGAAAGAAAGGTGATTTAAGCAATTTTGAGCGTGGCATGGTTGTTGGTGCCAGACGGGCCGGTCTGAGTATTTCACAATCTGCTCACTTACTGGGATTTTCACGCACAACCATTTCTAGGGTTTACAAAAAGAATGGGCAACTTTGACTGAAATAACCACTCGTTAAAACCGAGGTATGCAGCAAAGCATTTGTGAAGCCACAACACACACAACCTTGAGGCGGATGGGCTACAACAGCAGAAGACCCCACTGGGTACCACTCATCTCCACTACAAATAGGAAAAAGAGGTGACAATTTGCAAGAGCTCCCCAAAATTGGACAGTTGAAGACTGGAAAAATGTTGCCTGGTCTGATGAGTCTCAATTTCTGTTGAGACATTCAGAATTTGGCGTAAACAGAATGAGAACATGGATCCATCATGCCTTGTTCCCACTGTGCAGGCTGGTGGTGGAGGTGTAATGGTGTGGGGGATGTTTTCTTGGGACACTTTAGGCCCCTTAGTGCCAATTGGCTCAGTTTCTGACCATGTCCATCCCTTTATGGCCACCATGTCCCCATCCTCTGATGGCTACTTCCAGCAAGATAATGCACCATGTCACAAAGCTCGAATCATTTCAAATTGGTTTCTTGAACATGACAATGAGTTGACTGTACTAAAATGGCCCTACAGTCACCAGATCTCAACCCAATAGAGAATCTTTGGGATGTGGTGGAATGGGAGCTTCATGCCCTGGATGTGCATCCCACAAATCTCCATCAACTGCAAGATGCTATCCTATCAATATCGGCCAACTTTTCTAAAGAATGCTTTCAGCACCTTGTTGAATCAATGCCACGTAGAATTAAGGCAGTTCTGGAGGCGAAAGGTGGTCAAACACAGTATTAATATGGTGTTCCTAATAATCCTTTACGTGAGTGTACAGGGTGTTGAATTACATTACAATAGAATATACTAAATCTTTTTTTTATGACAAACTAATTCAGATGCACACGACTTTAATCTCTGTTGGCTTTTTCACCACAGGGGCCATTCCTCAAGGTGAAAAAAGAGGAAGTGCCTGATCAATTAAATTACTCTGGCGAAAAAAGCTATTACCCTCGCAGAGTGATAGAGTGTTGTCCAGGGACGTTGTCTGAGCAATAAAACATGTAATGAAAGCGAGTACCAGAGGAAACCACCTGACGTGGCGTACACAGGGCCACTATGTCCTCTAGTGAAAGTTAATTGGTCCATGCACTTATACATGCACTTCTGTTCAATATAAGCAATTCTGAATTTATTAGAGATTCAAACAAGAAGACAGTTGATTTATAACAAATATATTTCAAGGTTTCATGAAATGGACTTTTTTTTTAATGTTTCTTGAGGTACCCCTTATAATGTTAATAATTTTTTTTGTATATATGCAGAAAAATTCATATTTTCGACCCACATTCTGTCTGAAATGTTTGGTTTTAAGGCTTGTGAGTATACAGCCACTGTTATGATTGGCTTACGTCACTGCATAGAAAACAGCATTAACGCCCACTAGCTATTAAAAACATTATCCACATAAAACCGTCAAAGCATAATGAAATTGTTTACTTCCAAAAACGCTTTTTGAGCATAGAAAATTAAATGTCCAATTTAAACTGTTGTAAATCTTGAATGCTTTGGAGAATATACTTCTCTTTTCAAAGACGGCACTTGGCAAATCATTGCTGAAGTGAGAAAAGTTTAAAAAAGTGGACTTAAAAAAAGTTACAGAATTTTATGTGTTATGAAAAATGCACAAAAATACTATTTACATACATTCATTTATATGTATTCAATAGATATTTTCATACATTTTCAAGAAATATATGTTTCTAAAACTGCAAGAAATCCAAAGCCATAAATCTAAAGTTGGGCTCCAAATTTGAGCCTGATATCTAAAAAAAAAAAGCTTTCAGGAAGATTTTGTTTGTCCGCAGTACCAAAAGTTTCCATTAGATGAAATTCGTCTCCCTTTAATTTTCAACGTGCGAAGGAGCACAAGTATTTTATTTAGGACCATTTAACCTTTTCGAATCATGTCTCGAATCATTTTGTTTCTGTGTTCACATAGCAAATGCCAAAATATTTACCAAGTTTTACCAAATTTACGAAAATGTTTTACACATAAGTAAAAATGTAAAAAAAAAGGTTAAATAGATGTTTTGTTTATATTGGGGAGGATGTTAACCCTTGTGCTGCATTAGGGACATTTTTGGTCATTTGCAGTTTAATTTCTTTGACCATTTTGGCTGTTTTAATGCAAATGGTATGTAATTTGGTAAAATTGTGAGTTTTGGATAAATTTGGAAAAATTTGATCCACTTTTGCAAAATATGTATAACACACACTGTGTAGATCAAATAGTAACACTCTGCACTATAATGACCAAAAATGCCCCATTGAAACCCATTAAAACGCTGTTTAAAGCCGGGGCCATCATTAAAACATGAATCATGATTTATGTTGAAACATCCTTTCAATTTGAAGTAAAAGCATTATATTTGCATTATATAGAGTTTTTCA